GACGAACCATACAAATACCCCCGAAATACCCCAAAATGGCAAAACAATACTCCAAAAGTAGTCCCCAGACTATTTTTGGACTATGTTTGAACTATTTTGGTTTTTTTTTTTTCGTCCAAAACCCCCCTGTATGGGGGACAGGCCCGACTTAAGCCTACGCCATAAGATCGCTCGGCGCGGGCGTCGCCCGTGGGCGGGGGGGGGGGCGGGCGACGCGCACATAACATGAAAGCATTGGCGTCAGGTCGGGCCCGTCGCCCTACGGGTGGACGTTGGACGAAACATATAAAACAGAGCCAAGGCATGCACCCCAAATAACCAAACATAGTCAAACATCGGGCCCCAAGAGCCTCCCAAGAGGCCCCAGGGGAGCCCAAGACGCCGCCAAGGAGCCCCAAGAGGCTCCCAAGAGGCCCCAAAGAACGCTCCAGGGCCGGCGGAATCAGCGACGCGATGAAATAACCAAACGTAGTCAAACATCCTTCGTCCCCGGACTACGTTTTAAACTATTATTGGGCATTTCTCCTGTAGAGGGACAGGCCCGACTTAATGTTGGCGTGACGCCGAAAGGAAGAGAGCGCCAACCTCCCCGGAGGTCTGTGCTCTCCCGACTCGGGATGAGAAGCTGGCGGTGGGGAAGTATGTGGCCCCCCGAATGGGGTCCGAGCAGGTCGGGTCAAAAGATCGCGCCGCACCGCCGATAAATCGCCGGCTTCGGCGATGCATCCGCGACGTCGACGCGGAGGAACTCGGGCTCCACATCGAGCCGCATCGCCGCTGCGCCGGCCATGCGGCGCGATCCTCCGACCCCATTCGCTCGGACCCCATCTGGAAGCCTGGACGAAGGGGTCGGGACTTGCGGGGGCCAGGCAGACGCACCGACCAGACCAAGACATCGAATGGCATCGGCAGGGGTAAGTCCTCCTGTCCTCCTCCTCCTCCTGTTCCTCCTCCTCCTCCTCCTCCTTCTCCTCCTCCTCCTTCTCCTCCTCCTCCTCGTCCTCCTCCTCCTCCTCCTGGGCACAACTCGGGCACGATCTCTCGGAGGTCCGCAAAAGGACTCCTGGGGTCTGCGCGCGGGGCCCGGCGCCGATGCAGGCAAGGCGAGCAAACCACCTCCGAGACTTGACCTACTTGCCGTCGCTCGGACGTCCACTTCCCGTGCATTTCTCGGTTTCGTGCGTGTTTTTTTTGCTCGATGGTCCAGGATGGTCCTCGACGGTTCTCGCAGAGAAAAAATGCACACGTCCGAGCGATGCCAAGCCTATGCTTCTACCATGCTGGACGGGACAACACTCGCCCCTCCCTTGGATTCGCGGCGGGGTGGGGCACGCGCCGTCGGAACAGGCGGAGGGAGCTGGAGGAAGAGGGACGCTCCACTGGAAGAGACGAGAAGAGAGCAGGCGGACAAGAGGCGAGGGCAAGTACCGTCCATCCAGCACGTCATCCGCCCACATTGGAGATTGGAGGACCTCTAGGATTCCAGGAGCCCCCAAATCTTCAGCGAATTGAGAAGCGTTCCTCGCGCAAGCGTTTCGCCGTTTTCGGTCCGGCGCAAACTGAATGGGGGGGCGACAAGTGGCGGGGAGAAGCAAGGTGCTCCTTCTTTGGGGCTCCAGAAGCCCCCCTCCCTGGGCCCTCGAGCGCCACTGGGGGGGGCCCTGGCAGAGGGCTCCTCTTGTGCAGCCCTCGCTGCCCCTCCATGGATGCCCCCCCTGTTGCGCGCCCCCCACTTCGGCCTCGCCTCGGGGGAGGGGGGGGGGCATCGCTCGGGCGGGTGGTAATCGGGGGTGACGTAAAATGGGGGGTGACGTGAGATGGGGAGTGAAGGAACATGTTCAAGGCATTGTCTAGAACATGTTCCGACATTTTCAACACATGTTAGTTTCAATAATAGGACTGTTAGGGTGTCCATTGTCGTGGCATTTAGTATCGGGGGCGCGCCCAGGGGGAAATGAGAAGGGGCGGGCCTTCTCAGAAGGATCGGAAGTCCCCTGGCATTCTGAGAAGTTTTGTGAGCCTTCCCCGAAGACCGGAAACAGCTTCTCAGAGGGCGCGAGGGCTTCTGAGAAGTGCCGCCGCCTTCTGAGAAGGCCTTCTCCTTCTCACTTCCCCCCCTCGCTCGCCGCCGATAAGTAGGGGGGGGTGACGTGACATGGGGGGTGAAGGAAAGGGCCCCAAAGGGGCCCCTCGGGGGCCCCTTTTTCGGAGCCAGCAGGTGCCCCCAAGGAGGCCCCTCTCGGGCCCCTTCCTCCACCCCCCATGTTTACGTGACCCCCTTTACTAAACGTGGATGCCACGACAGTGGACACCCTAACAGTCCTACCATTGAAATTGAGGGTGTGTTTAAAATGTCGGAACCTGTTCTAAACATGCCTTAAGCATGTGCCTTACATGTTTCGAGCATGTTTAACACATGTTTTAGACATCTGGACATGATCTGGTAACATGCTCCCTCTCCATGGACCGTCCTCCACAACCCTGCTACCACCCGCCCGACTCGCACGACTACCGCCCCCCCGGCCACCACCGCCCCCCTGCTGCCGCCCGCACGATCCGCCGGGCCCGGGACCGTCCAGAAGGAGGAGGAGGAGGAGGAGGAGGAGGGGGAGGAGGAGGAGGAGGAGGGGGAGGGGGAAGAGGAGGAGGAGGAGGAGGAGGGGGAGGAGGAGGAGGAGGAGGGAGGAGGAGGAGGAGGAGGGAGGGAGGGGGAGGAGGAGGAGGAGGAGGAGGAGGAGGAGGAGGAGGAGGAGGAGGAGGAGGAGGAGGAGGAGGAGGAGGAGGAGGAGGAGGAAGGAGGAGAGGAGGAGGAGGAGGAGGAGGAGGAGGAGGAGGAGGGGGAGGAGGGGGAGGGGGAGGAGGAGGGGGAGACACCTCCCGGGGCGAAGGCGCGGCCTTCGGCGGGCGGGGGCCCCGCGGCGCAGGGCCTCTCCGGGTCTCGGGGGCCGCGGTCCGCCGAGGGGCAGGCTCCGAGGCCCCCCATGCGCAGAGCGGGCGGTGTGCCGTCGGGTCGGGCACCGCGCCGCACGGGCACATTTATTTTTGTTTGGGGGGGGGCCCTGCCTCTTCCTCCTCCACCTCCTTCTCCTTCTCTTCCTCCTCCTCCTCCTCCTCCTCCTCCTTCTGCTGCTCCTCCCTCCTTCCGTTCTCCTTCCCCTCCTCGCTCCTCCTCGTCCTGCTCACCGATGTGCGTCCTCCCTCTCCTCGTCCTCCCCCTCCAGAAGCCTCCTCGCCACTCCCTTATTGCGCTAGCCCTGGGGGATGCAGGATCCGAAGCGCCTGTAAAGGGCTCCCCCGCGCTCCAGACGGTCGTCTGGATGGGGGGATGCGCGGGGATGGCGGAAAAATGACAGCGGCCCGCTGCAGAAAACTTGGAGAATGCTCGCTCAATCTCCTCCTGTGCGCCGCGCGGACGGGGATGGAAGGGCGGAGGAGACGGAGGCGGAGACAGAGGGGGAGAAGGAGGATGAGGATGAGGAAGAATAGTAAGAACATGGGGATAGGGCACGAGATATGGGAGGGATACAGCGAACGCTAATTAACAAGAAACCCACCGCAAGAAACCCAACCCTGAAATCCGCCGAGGTGTCTTGGTCCAGGGTTTGGGTTTGTTGCACTTCGGCTGCAAACAGAAAACCAAGGGCATCCTGGCCCGAGCAGTTTCTGGACCAATCGCGGAAAACAATATGACGTGAAGAAAACCCGGAGAAATCGAAAGTGCCAGCTTCGGACAGAGAGACTTCTCTGCGAACGAAGAACTTTGTGCCACGGATGGGCGCGCGCCACACGGGTGACCCACCAGCAGATGGGTCACCCGAAAACTGGTTGAGAACAACCCATTGTTTCGCTTGCAGTCTGGGCTTCAGCATGAGCTGGTACTCCATACGCGCCCCTGTGGAGCTCGCGCCGCACAGGTGACCCACTAGCTGGTTGAGAAAAAGTGTTTCACTTGCATTCTGGGCCTCAACATGAATTGGTACACTCCGACTCCGTGCGTTTCCCCCTGTAGAGCGCGCGGCGCGCAAGTGATCTACGAGCGGGCTGGTCGACCGACACCGGTTGAGAACACACAATTCGTTTCACCTGCATTCTGGGCCTCAGCATCAAATGGCTCCCTCCCCCTGTGGAGCGCGCGCCACGCAGGTGACCCCCCGGCGAGTGGGTCACCCGAACGCTCGTTGAGAAACATCAGCTGTTTCGCCTGCGCTCTGGTTCTCGAGCGTGTGCTGGTGCACTCCTGCCCTGTACGCTCCACCGTGGAGCGCGCGCGCCGCGCAGGGGACCAACGTGTTGAGAAAGACAGTTTCAGGGGGCCCCAGGACACACAAATAAGTACACACAAATAACAGGATCCCCCATACTTCCGCATATTTTCTGGGTTTCTGTCTTCCCCCTCCACTGCCTATATTTTCATATATTCTCTGGGGAATCGACGATTAATTGTGTCTGTGCGTTTTTTCCCCTCCTGACAAGTGTTTCACTTGCATTCTGGGCCTCAGCATGAGATGGCTCCTTCCTGCTCCATGAGATTCCCTTGTGGTGCGCGCGCAGGGCAGGTGATTCCCCCCCCTAGCGGGAGGGTCCCTCGAAAACTTGTTGTGGGACACCACAGCTGTTCCGACTGCGTCCTGGTCCTCCACATTGAGCTGGGGCATCCCTGCTCCAGGCGCTCCCCTGTGGAGCGCGCGCCGCGCAGGCGGCCAACTGGCTGATTAAAGAGGAATGAATGTGTTTCGCGTGCGCTCTGGGCCTCGGCAGAAAAAGCTTGGTGCACTCCTGCTCCGTGCGCTCCTCCCGTGGAGCGCGCGCCGCGCAGGTCAGCTTCCAGCGGGCGGGCCACCCGAGAACGCTGGAGACAAACATGTTCTTCACTGTTTTTTTTTGTTTTGTTTTTGTTCACTTGCTGCTGTTATTGCTGCTATTTTCCTTGGTGCTATGTTCCCTCAACTTCGGGCGTGCGTCCGAGAGCGCCGGGGTGTTCCCGCGGCAGACGGGCGCGCCCCCGGGAGCGCGCACGCGGTGCGCGACGATGGGGGGAGGAGCGGCGGGCGAAGACATCCAGGGAACCCTGACCTGCTGGAGGTGTCTCGGAGGTGCGGGCGGCGCGCGCCCCGAAGCGCGCCCAAGAAGCCCACGGCGCCCTGACACCTGCAACTTCTTCGGGGCGGCGGCGGCCTTCCACGCCTAGCGCAGGCCGAAGAAACCCGGGGACGCCTGGCAGAGTCGAGGGTGTGTCTTGTCATGCGCGCCCCCGCTGTAGAAGAGAGGGAGAGGCGTACACGAGCGGCGGGAGCAGAGATGACGATAGGGAAGACAACGAGAATGATGAAGAGGAGTGGGATTAAGGATGGTTTAGCAGGGGGCATGGGGAACATAGCGAGGAAGTGTCGCCAGACGCGGACCCGCAAAACGCGAATGAGGAGGAAACGGGGGAGCGCACTGGTGCAGGAAGAGTGTGAGGACGATTACGAGAAGATAGAGCACGATGAGAAAAAGGAGAGAAAAGAGGGAGAAAGAGAGAGAGAGAGAGAAAGGAATATGCACACACATGTTACCATAGCACCCCGCAGATGCGGATAAAAAAAGGGGCGGTGGGGACGCCGGCAGCCTGCGAAACTCTGGAAAAACCCGCCGCAGGCGCCAACATTTCACAAGTTATACAACGACCCCCCCCCCCCCGGCAGGCGTTGTGGGTAGGTCGCGGGTGGGTCGCAAATGGGTCGCGGTTGGGTCGCGGGTGGGTCGCTGTTGGGTCGCAGGGTGGGTCGCAGGGTGGCTCGCAAATGGATTGTGGGTGGATCGCGGGCGGGTCGTGGGTCACGAGTGGGTCGCGGGTGGGTCGCGGGTGGGTCGTGGGGTGGATCGCGGGGTACGTCGCGGGGTGGGTCGCGGGGTGGGTCGCGGGTGGATCGCGGGTGGGACGACGACGACAACAAACAACAACAATGATCATTTTAAGACTGTTCGCTCTTATCTGCTCGCGTGTCCTTCAATATGCGTATCCCAAACCCTGGATACCCGCCCTGTTCGTCTTCGGTCGTGCCCCCTTTTGGAAGTATAATCATTCCCTGCAACGTGTGGTTGGTGAAGCCCTTGAAAACGAGGGGTAACAGATAACGGGGGGGAGTGAGGACGAAAGGATCGGAGGAAAGGGGGGGGGGGGGCAAGACGGAGGGAGGACGAGGATTTGCGCTGTGAGTGGCGATTCAGCTTGCGCCATGGCTTGCGCCAGCCACTCCAACACAGGCTAAGCATAAATTTCGCCATGGGTCGCGCCATAAACAGGGCCACGTATCACCCCCTTGAAAAAACATATCGTGGATACCCCCACGGGGGGACGTACAGCTGCGAGCTGGTGTCAGAAACAAATTTCGTGGAACCCTGAAAAGGAGCGGGATGTTGGGAGAGCGGGGTGGGGGAATAGTGAGAACGGCCACCGTGTCGAAAAGGAACGCGGAAGCCCCAAGTGATAACGCGATTCTTCAATAACTTATGAGGAAGTATCAAGCGGGAGCTGCGATCCGGTGGTAAATTGTAAGGAAGTCCAAAGCGAGAGCGCGATTCTTCAATACATTGTGAGGAAGTATCAGGCAGGAACTGTTGTTGTTGTAAACTGGGGGCCAGCGACACAATTTGACCCCCAAAGCTTTCCCTGATAAAAAAACAGGGTGCGAGCCCCGGGAAAAGCGCTTCAATCGAAAAAACAATGTGCACCGGACGGGGGGGATCAACAATAATTACTCTTCAGAAGCGAGAGTTCAACAACAACAATACCAACAACACCACCACCAACAACAACACCAGCAACAACAACAAACATAACACCAACAACAACACCACCAACAACAACAACCACGCAACAAGCATAATCCTCACCACAGATCCCACTTCAACCACGCACCCAGGGACAATGAATGGCCGTTCGACCCCCTCACTCTGATACATATATACATAAGAAATAAATACTATGGGACCCCTGCATAATGCCGGTAAGAGTGATGGGGGCGGTGGGGACGTCGGCAGTCTGCGAGATTCTGGAGGAGCCTGCTGCAAGCGGCAACGTTTCACACATTATACCATGGCACCACCGCAGATGCGGAAAAGAGTGAGCGGGCGGCGAGGACGTCGGCAGTCTGCGAGATTCTGGGGGAACCCGCTGCAAGCGCCAACGTTCCACAAATTATACCATGGCGCCCCGCATTTGCGGATAAGAGTGATGGGGGCGGTGGGGACGTGCTAACCAATACGTATATCCCAAACCCTCGGTACTCGCCCTCGTCGTCTTCAATCGTACCCCCTTGGGGGTATGTCTTCCTGATTTGCCAGGGATAATCATGGAGCACGAGAGAAATTAGCAGGAGAGGGGGCAAGGAGCAGAAAACAAATGGCAAAACTAGACGGGCAGATCGGGTGGGCAGACCCATAGCGGGCAGGTCGGGAAGGCGGGCCCAGGCGACGAGGTCGAGCAGGCGGGTTGCGAAACGTGGGTCCTGCATAAACCGCAAGGAATTCTCAAGCGATAGCGCGATTCCTAAGTAAATCGTGAGAAACGCCAGCGTGGGCCACGGAGGGCATAACATCCGAGGCCACAGAAGGCAGCGACGGGGCCGCTGAGAGCAGCACCGGGGCCACGAAGGGCAGCGAAGGGGGCCACAAAGGGCGACAGCAGGGCCACGAAGGACATGCATATGAGGCCACGACGGGCGCGAGCGAGCGGGGATCACGAAGGGCATTCGTTTACGGGGCCACAAAGGGCGACAGCGGGGCCACTGAGGGCAGCAGAGGGGCCACGAAGGGCAGCGAAAGGGCCACGAAGGGCGACAGCGGGGCTACGAAGGGCATGCGTATTGGGGCCACGGCGGGCGCGTGCGAGCGGGGGCCCCGAAGGGCATAGAATGCGGGACCACAAAGGGCAGCGACGGAGCCATTGAGGGCAACAGCGGGGCCACGAAGGGCAGCGAACGAAGGCGACCGTGGAACCAGTACGGGCAGCGGAGGGCATCGAAGGCGGGCGAAGGGCAGCGAGCGGCGACTGCAGTCATTAACGGGCTGGTCGGGCGGGCAGGCCCCGACGGGCGGGTCGAGCGGGCGGGTCGTTGAAGCGCGAGTCCTGCTTGAACCGTGAAGCGATCTGTAGCGGGAGCGCAATTCCTGAGTGTCGAAGACCGGCATCTGAATACAATGTGAGGAAATATCAGGCTAAGCGGTTCGGTGGTAAGTTGCGGGGAAGTCCCAAACGAGAGCGCGACTCTGCAATACATTGTCAAGACGCATCAAGCGGGAGCCGCGATTCGGTGGTAAATTGACAGGAGGTCCCAAGCGACAGCGCGATTCTTCAATACTTTGTGAAAATCTCAGGCGGGAGCCGTTGTTGTCGTAGTTGTAAGCCGGGGGCCAACGACACAGTTTGAACTTCAAAACTTTCTCTGGTAAAAAACAGGGTGCAAACACCAGGAAAGGCACTTCAATGGAAACATACAATGTGCACCGGGCGGGGGGGATTAATAATAATTGCTCTTCATGAATCAGAATTGCTCTTCATGAATCAGAGTTCAACAACAATAACAACAATCATTCTAAGACTGTTCGCTCTTTCTTGCCCGCGTGTCATTCAAAACGCGTTCCCCACACCCTCGATACCCGCCTTTTTTGTCTTCGATCACACCCCCTTTGGGGGGATTCTTCTCTTTGCGGGGGGCGCCGGGCTTGGACAGGCGGGCAAACCTGAACGGGCGGACAATCCTTCGTGGGCGTACATGTGCCCGCCATTGGAATTGGTGTGGGCCCTGCAAAAAAAGAGGGGGGGGAGAACGAGGGAGAATGGGAGGAAGGCCGGGGGAGGGACGAATGAAAAATGAAGAGGGAAACAGCCAGGAGAGAAGGAGCGAAGAGGGGGGCGGTTGATTAGAAGCAGAGACAGAAAGAGAGAGAGAGAGAGAGAGACAGAGCGAGAGAGAGAGAGAGAAAGACAGATAAGAGAGGTAGAAGAGAGAAAGACACATATAGAAAGAGAGAGAGAGAGAGAAAACGAGAGAGAGAGAGAGAGAGATAACAAAACAACACACACAAAAAAGAAAGAGGGAGGGAGGAGGCAGGAAGGAGACGGGAGGGAGAAGGGAGGAGGGCGAGGAGGGAGAGGGGATAGGGCAGAGAGGCAGAGAGGCATAAGGATGAGGGAAGAAAGGAGGGAGAGAGAAAGGAGGAGAGGAGGGAGGAGGGAGGAGGAGGAGCAGGAAGGTAAGAGCGTGAACGTCCGACGGAGTCCTAGGCGAAAACGCCGTTCCTGAAGGAATCCTTGGGCGGGAGCCCACGACGGGCGGGCGATCCCCTGACGGGCGGGTCGGGGGGGTGGGACATTCAAGCGGGATGCCTGAATATGGCGAGAGCGCGATTCCCAAGTAAATTGTGACGGCGTCCTAGGCGCAGCGTGTTTCCTGAGCGTCGAAAGCGCGATTTTTGAATAAGTTGTATGGAAACCACAAGCGAGAGCGCAATTCCGAATAACATGTGAAGGGTTCTCTGGCGGGAGCGGGGGGCTTGATTAAATTGCGAAGGGATCTTGATTGCATTGCGAAGAAATCTTAAGCGGGAGCGCTGTTCCCGAGTAAATGTTGAGGAAGTCTCAGATGGGAGCGGGGGTCCCGACTAAGTTGCGAAGAAATCACACGCGGGAGCACCGCTCCTATGTAAATTGTGAGGAAGTCTCAAGCGGGAGCGGGGGTCCTGAGTAAATTTGGGGGAAGTCTTAAGCGGGAGCCGTTGTTGTTCTAATCCAGGGGCCAACGACACAGTTTGAGCACCAAGACTTTCCCTGTCAAAAAACAGGGTGCGAGCGTCGAGGGGCACACTTTGTTAAAGAAAAACATTATGCACTGGTGAGGGGGATCACCAATAATGATTCTTCCGAAATCAGAATTCAACAACAACGGCAGCAGCAACAACAACAACAATCATTCTAAGACTGTTCGCTCTTTCTTGCCCGCGTGTCATTCAAAACGCGTTCCCCACACCCTCGATACCCGCCTTTTTTGTCTTCGATCACACCCCCTTTGGGGGGATTCTTTCTCT